AGTGGTCGTAATTTTATGGCTGATGTGTATAGCTTATGCATAATTTATTTAAAATAAATTATTTTACAAAAGTCATATTTACAGTTAAGTTACAGACCTTAAGGAGCAAAGATGTAGTCATTAAGGCTGTGAGCCCTAAAAATAATCAAATGGGTCAGTCATGATCCTCATCTCTCTTTGGACAAACAACAAGAGTTTCATTCCAAGTTTCTTTCTCTCTGTCTCTGTCTATCCTCCAGAGGGATCCACACCAGAGCTGATGCTGCTGGTTGCCCAGATATCGTTATAGTAACCCTGGCTGTAGGCCTTTCTTGGCTCTTTTAGGTGCGGAAGCTGCTTTGCCCTGAGGGGGTGATGTGCCACACATTCAATGGAAAGACGTCAGCCCCATTCACAAAAACAGTGAACAGTTTGGTTGTTTGAACATGCAGCCAGCAGAAGAGCTGGTTACAGAAACAGGCTCGGGGTCAAAGTGAATCCCCAGAGAAGGACGGGAATACATGTGTACTAAGAGTGAATGAGTATCTCCCCTCCCGCCTGATAATTATCACATCTGTGTCCAAACTACCAGGTGTGAATGTGTTTAACTGTATGAATGTGAAGCATGGTATTCCTGGAAAACAGCAAGTATGCTCAAGTTGACCTTGCCTGAATATAGAAAGTTTTTAAGAAGGTAATCTCTGTGGTGGAAAATAAACTATTCTTTGATAATATTATAGCCAGCATATGGCTTTTTGGCCAACATCACTGTTTAGGACATAAGAGTGACAGATGGTGGTTGTCAGTGTATGAACATAGTTGCTAGCTGGCAAGACCAGTTTGGTGGTAACCTTTATCACTCAAGGGCTGGATACAGTTCAGAGGTATCCATCTCTCCTCAGCTGTGCTCATAAACAAGTGCTTCTCAAGTGTCCCCTGTCCTTTAAATTCTCCATCCTTGAAATTGTCCATGCTTTTTTATATTCTTATTTTATTCCATTGTCACTTTCCGGGCTTCATTCACTGAGTTTAAGAGTTTGTTGTTTTGTGGCGAGACTTGGTAAAGATCCCGGCAGGATAACCACAGACTGAACCTGAATATAAAGGAATCTTAGAAATGGAAGAGTGAAATAAATAGATATAGATATACTGTAGATATATATATATATATAATATATATATATATATATATATATATATAGATGTAGACATCAATATAGATATAGATATAGATATAGATTTATCAACTCAGTAAAAGCTTTTTTCTGCAGCTGGATTCACATTGCCAGCAGGGCTTGTTATGATGGAAGCAGAAATGATAAATGGAGGTCAGGGAGGCTTTGTGTTTACTGTTGTGGCTCAATCGCTGATGCACCTCCATTATAGGCAACAAAGTGCCACACCACACAGAGCCAAGTTCTCTCAGTACAAGGTGCCACTGGTCAAGAGCCAACAATGAGCATAAAGTAGGTATCGCTTTTGTTTCCTGGCTCTGGGAGTATTTGTCAAGGTCAGAGGAGCCAGAGCCAGAAGCATAAAGGTCAGCGGCATGAATAGACAAGCAGTTACTGACGGAGATATAGCGACACAATTGTAAGACTGTGAATGTATTCTGCCCTGACGACAATGCGCAGTCACCATAATCTCAGACAATGACAAAAAAGTAGATGTAGTTGCATTAAAAAGGAAAAGCAAAGCATGAAACATTAAGAAAAGCAATAACCTAACACAAACACACACGACTGCATCATAAGCTTCTGTGTGCCCCGTGCCTTTTTGTTTCTACTTGTGTGACCAGACACACCCAGTGTGAATAAATATACATATTGTCTTTCAGCAGGCCCAGGGAATGGAAAAAGTTTGAATCTAATCCAACATATTGTAACTGCTTGAATCTCCCATTCCTCCCCTGAGTGTCATGAGACACTCAGCTGTCAAAGATAGAGCCAAAATGAGTGCCAGCAGGTGTGTGTGTGTGAGAGAGAGAGAGAGAGAGAGAGTGTGTGTGTCTGTATGTGTAAGGTTATAACAGTTCAGAAATTGTTGAAATTATAATTAAATGTAACCAGAGGAAAGCAGACGAGAAAAACTGAGCAAGAGAGAGATAATAGACTGTTTACAAAGCGGCTAAAATTAGTTTTGAGAAAAAAAATATTAATATTTTGTATTTTGCTGTCAAACGTAGTATTAAAAAATAAATCGCATAAAAAATTAATTTAAAGTGCAAAACTAAAACCCCACATGACACTAAAAAGAATTGGAATACCCTGGTATGATGAGAGGAAGCAGATCACTACAGGGGTTTTCACTGTCCCTAGCCAGGAATCCCCTTTACTCACTCGCACGCACACACACACACACACACACACACACACACACACACACACACACACACACAACACAACAGCAGCAGCAGCAGCAGCAGCAGCAGCAGAAGGTTCTGGCAAGTGTGTCAGCTGTTGGCTGTTTGATGAAACACGTTCATCTGTTATCTGACACGCCGGTCTTGTTTAAAGTTAACTGTAAACCTTTTTGGGTCTAGTGTATCTGTGTATTCTAAAGTGTAAAAGACAAATCAGGCTCCATAGGCTCATTTGAATTAGCTGAATATCCACTGCACAGAATTACTGTACGTAGGTTTACATTAAAAAGGTAGTTTGATATTTTCTAAGCCTCTGTTAAAGGCTTTTACAATCAAGAATCAAGAATTTCAAAAATGCAGTCAGCCCGCTGCCATCATTGACAGGCTAGCTGGCTGCATGAGGCAGCAGGTCTCCGCTGCAGCGTCAGACACACCAGAGGCCTTATGCAATTGCTATGCCATCAGAATTATATAATTACCTAATTTAATCCCATCACACTCTAGGAAGGTTTTTTTTTATTTCATGCCAGTGAAGGGGCAAGGCCACAGATGACAATGCTGAAAATCAATAAAACAATTTATAATTGCATTACAGTCTGAGTGACCTGACTACTGTATATTTATTCTGGGCAGGATTTGTAGTAGCTCTGGGAGGTGGTTACAACTGAAATGAGTAAATTAAAATGGTGGTTTGAAGCAAACAAATTATCATTAAACTTCAACAAAACCATGCTTATGCTGTATTAGAAAATAAACACGCACATAAAAATAATAGCAGACAATGTTAAAATAGAAAGAGTGACAATACACTTATGGGTGTGATAGCGAAGTTGGCAAGATGTGTTGCAGTTCTGGGAAAAACAAGGCACATTCTGGACCATGAAGCATTGCACACTCTGTATTGTTCACTAGTATTACTGTACCTTAATTATTGTGTGAAGGTATGGGGTAACATCTACAAAAGCACCTGACACTCAATATGCACATTACAAAAAAGAGCCATAAGAAAAGTAAACAGTGTAGGATATCATGAAACACTAAACTGTGCTTTTAAAGACACATAGAGAAGAAAAAATGTCAAACAGTTTATCAAATTCTATATTGTAGATCACAGGTTTCAGCAGGCCGTTAATTACAGCGTCACTATGAAGACAACATGTTGCATGAGTTATATGCTTGTCAAATCTAAGGTCAAAGCCCCTCAAGCACATCCCTCAGACTTGTATTGGCTTTCACTCTGTTAGAGTTTGCCGTCTGCAGGTTCTGTCCCACTTCCAGACTTGCTGAAGCAATAAGTCATTTTGACTGAATGGTTACACTTTGTGGACGTCACTGCTACACTACCGCTTTACTTTACTGTCAACATTATCGCACTGCTTTCTTGGAAGTGGCACAAAATGGAGTAGCTGAGTGTAACAAAGACGTCACATCTGTCAGATGTTGCACTCTTTTTTTATCTTACTCTTATTGTTGTTGACTGGATGGAGGTTTCCTTATTGGATTTACTTTGTTCATAATTAAGAAGAAACTCATCTTTTCTTTTTCTTATTTAATTTGATTTAAAGTATTAATGTCAGTGGTGCCTGTTGACCTCAGAAGGACGCACAAGACATGAATTTAGGCCAAACACATACAGCTACAGCTATTTATAAAGTTGCAGGCTGTGGATGTGCCCCACATAAAGTCAGAATCAGATATTTTTTCTGATATAATACCCTTTCTATATATGTTACGGAAAGACTTTGTCCAGACTATATACACTTCCTCCTGAGCGATAAATATGTCTGTGATTTTAACACTCTCTAAAATTATGTGTATAAACTGTCTCTAAATAACAGCTGCTGAGATAAAACAGCTGTGTTTCTAAGGGGTAACAAGAGGACAAATGCTACATTTCCAGTGCTCATATCTTTATGTTTTATCAGTTCATGCTGACGTCTGGAGCATGGAATATGTCTACCAACAGCTGTTACCTGATTTAACATTAAACAGATAAATCAAATACCTTATGTTGTGTTACTTTCCTCTGCTGATTAATTGTTTATGTTTATATTAACCCATCTAATCTGAAGGTCAAGCTGATCAGCCTGTTGTTAATAAACCAGTTGATGGGATTCCGCCAGAGAGACGTCAAAGGCATCATCGACAGGAGCTCTCTGGCCAACGATGGCTGTCAATTTATTTGAAACAGTGCACCAAGTACGGACTGAACAGTCACCATATTGTTCGGTTAAATGTCATCAAAGAGGTTTCAAGAATTTAACTGTGATATTTTTTTAAAGTAATTTTTTTTGGCCTTTTGTTGGCTTATTTTTTTTTTATAGAGACAGCTGTAGAGAGACAGCAAAGGTGGGTGGAGAGAGAGAGAATGACACGCAGCAAAGGGCCGCAGGTCGGATTCAAACCTGGGCTGCTGCAGTAACTCCGTATATCGGTCGCCAGCTCTACCGACTGAGCTTAACTGTGTCATTTTGAAATGAAGCTGGAACTAAATTATTCAAATTTTTTTTCATATAAGAAACCACGCCCCAAGACTTAGGAGAGAAGAGGAGAAAAGCCATATAAAAGCAGTAAAACATCATGAGCTTTTACAATTAAGACAATGAGAGACTGACTTAGTGACAATAAACTGAAATTTATTTTCTAAAAGGAAAAGGGACAGTCCCTATTTTCACTCCAAGCCGGAGCTTTGTGGCAGTTTCATTGGCTAATGTGGAAAAAGGCCCGAGGCAGTACCCACTTCCTATATGTAGAACCAAATCACATCGGCTCACTGCCTTCCTGCGGACGAGTCTGATCAATAGCTCCCCGACTACGTCTCATGCTGGCAGAATGCAGCTGCGGATGGAAACAAACTAAATCTGCAGACAGATGTGTCATACTGCAACTCCAAGTTCATCTCTGATACAACCATATTGATCACACTCTGCTTAATAGTGTTTTATGCATGCTTATGCTAAATTACAGGAGCTGGTGGGTGTTGGGATCCTCTCTGGAGTATCGGTGTGTTATGCAATCTGGGCATCCATGTGGTTTTGTAAACAGATCACACTAAACATAATCCTCATTTCCACTGAAAATCTCTGAAAGACAGAGTGCAAATGTGGATGAATGAACAGCCGATCATACTTTTGTTCATTCAAACTATGTGGTTTGAGGAATGTGAATTGTGCAATATATCCTCCTGCTAATTCTACACATTAACACCATCCCTAAAGACACCCTGTAGTACAGAATACACTTATTTTCCACAGTTAACTGAAATAGATTGGGAAAGGCGAATGAGGCGTTCTTTCCATCGCTGTCATTGAAAATGACTTCCAGCAGAGCCGACTGATATAGCACGGGGTCTCTGTGGGCTTTCACAGAACTGGAGTGAGTCAGTTTGGTGAATTATAGTAAATGATGGTGTGAGCTCTGACAGCTAGCAGCCTGGAATTTGGGCCACAGCTCCAAATTAGAGGAGCAGCATGTGTATCCACAGCTAAAAAAATCAAGCAGGCCTCTGCACACCAGCTCCAGATGTCACACATTTTGGGTCAAAATGCTAAACTTTGGAAAAATTATTGCTCAGTTGACTGCAAATGCAAACATAAAAGGTCATACTATCACAGTTGTGTCCGTTTCACTGATTTGCTGTTTACAATCAATGCATCAACTTCATAATGATTTTTTTTACGCTTTTATTCAAAAAAAGGACATAAACAGTTTTCAACAACTGCAATATCAATATACAGCATTTGCCTTATAATTTACAAAAAATAAAAAAAATCTGTACAGTCTCTGGTTTGTGCAGGAAGGTGGGAAGACTCTGGTAGAAAAATAAAGACCTAAGACAGGAGAAGTGTCAACGTGAGAAGTGAACCGATCAAATGTTTTAATAGATTTCCTTACCAGAGAAGCAGTACAGTGTTCAGGCTTCCACTGATGTTATTTATCCAAGCATTAATGTTTCACAATAACACCTAAAGTAGTAGTTAAAAAAACCCCATTAAAGCTCAATCTTGTGTAAGACTGGAGTCAAGTGTGCTATATCCGTTCAGGATTTTTGATTGTAACTGAAAAGTATCAGCAGACCTGATCTTTATAAAGACAAAGCAAGGGCCCATTCAGAAATGACAAATAACTGCACAAGACCCGCGGTGGTGAAGTGTGAGGGTGAACGGGGATTTGTCCAGATTCTGCAAGTCTGCCATGCCAAGAACACTGATGTTAATATAATGCAGACTATGTCAACTCAAATAATTCAATGTTTCAACAGCAAACCGCTGTTAGATGAGGTAAAGTTCAGGTTTAAAATCAACATCAACTAACAGATGAGTTACGGTTGTCTCTTATATATATGTACACATTTGGCTTTGGGTAATAAAACAGTTTCTGATGTTATGGGGGGAAAAAGTGCACTAAAGCTTTGGAAAACACACTGACAGAATCATGCTTGTCTACATCTAGAAATAACATTATAGGCTGCAATCTGCAATCTTCAAAATGGATACTTTAAAAGACAAATAATACATTTTGGCTCCTAGATTTCTCTCTAAACATACAATATGTAACTTAGCAGCACTTATCATCAACATTCATAACCTGGGCTCAGGGTTGAGCTTCCTGTCACCTTCTACCACTGACCTGTATTGCACATTAGAACATGAAGACCTGCAAGGGAGTGGCAGTATACTGCACAGTGAATCACCTCTGAATGCTTCTTTTTCCCTGTAACATCTATTGCAGTGTGTGCTCAGTCGCAGCCAAACCTCCACCAAGACTGAGACTTTTGTCAAGGCACACACTGCAGAAGACGCTATACTTAGACAAGATGATAGGTTGAGGAGCATAGTGTAGTGCTCGCAATCTCTGCAAGACATCTCTTTCCTGCCTCACGCAGAGCAACACCGAGCCCACAACAATGAAGAAGATTGTAAATATTTTTTGCTAAGAGACCAGCTCATTAACAAACAGTAGCCTCTGTGCAGGTGGATTAATGGGTTTAAAATTAAATGTTTTTAGCATTTAAAACAAGATTCTCAGACTTAAAATTACTATATAAGAATATATAAATTTAAACAAATCTCAAAGTTTCAGGTTCAAATCTTTTTTGTCACAATCTTATATCAAATTCAGGCCACAAAAAAACACAAATTAGACTCAAGATGCTAAAAGCAAAATGTCCAAATTGGGAATTTGCACTAATAAATGAGAAACTGCTTTTTTCTAGAAAACTTAGTTACGCTTCTTAACCAAACTGGCTCTAGTAAAATATTGTAAGGAGGGGAGACTGCACAGTGTGTAAGTGAAGGAGTCTAAGCCATTTTATCCCTCTAGCTCCATGCAACCAATGAATTTATCATCACCTTCACCATAAACAAAGTAACAACAATAATTTCCATGGTGTCTTGTGCGTGAGCTTCTGCATAGAGAACTTTATACTCAAATCACAGTCTTTTACAAACTGTCTTGCATTATAAGACAGCAATCAGGACCAAATTCAAGCTAGTTTTAACATATCCTGCGCTAGTTTTTTAACCTTTCTTTAACTCTGTGGTCATATTTCTGATTCTGCTGTCAAAGGCCTTGATTCTAAAGGCAAAGAGTCCAGATTGCATTCAGAGTCTGACACCACATCCGTGTTTATGTCCTCAAGTGCACCAACCTCAACATCCCTCATCTCCCTGTTTTCCTCTTCCTCAAACTCCTCCTCCATCTCGACTTTTTCGAGAGCCACCTCGTTCTCGTAACAAAAGGAGTTCCTCGAGCTGGATGCGTTGGACTTCTTCTCGGCTAATTCCCTGGCACTGCAGGTTGGCGTGCTAGGCACCTCGTATGTGTTGTCAAAGCGAGAGTAGTCCACTTTGTAGTAGTTCTTTTCCTCAAAGAGCACAGGCTCGAAGCGGTGGCCCCAGAGGATCTCGCTGGCCACGTAGGAGCTCCGACACTGAGTAGTCATGGCTGTAGCCTCGACCATGCCCTCCAGAATCACCACGATTTCAAATTCGGACCTCTCTAACTCCTGTTTGCTCATCTCATAGAACGGGCTGTCCTCGTCAATCTCATGCACAATGGTGATTGGAGACACCAGGAAGATTCTGTCAATGCCACTATCGAATCCTACGTCAATGTCAACCTGATCCAGAGGGATGAACTCACCCTCGGCGGTGGTGCGGGACTTCAGCAGCTGGGCCCTGACATGGGCCTCCACCAGGTGACTCTTCCTCAGGTTCCCCACACGCCACATTAGGCAATGTTTACCATCCCTCATGGCCACTGTAGCATAATGGCTGAACACCAGGGTCTCATTCCTCTTTTTGGGCTTGGCCATCTTGGCCATGACAGCACCGATGATGAAAGCATCGATGATGCAGCCCACAATGCTCTGGAAGACGACCATGAAGACAGCAACGGGGCACTCCTCTGTCACATAACGATAACCATAGCCAATAGTGGTTTGGGTCTCCACTGAGAACAAGAAGGCAGCGGTGAAGCTGTCCACATTGGAAACACACATCTGAGTCTCATTCTCTAAGTCCCCGTAACAGAGGGCCACTACCCAGAAGACCAAGCCAAAAAACAACCATGACAGCAGGAAAGAAAGGCAGAATATGAGCAGCATCCAGCGCCAGCGGATGTCCACACAGGTGGTGAAGATATCTGCCAGGTACCGCTGGCCTTTCTCACTCATATTGATAAACTGCACATTGCAGTGGCCATCCTTACTGACAAAGCGGCTCTGCTGTTGGTGCTCTGTGTGCACCTTGTTCACATTGCCATTTCCGTAGCCATTCGGGACGGCAATAGTAGCCAGCTTCATGCCGTCTTCCTCAGAGGACACAATGCTGTAACGGTGGCTTCGCACACTCCCCATTACTTCCGCCTGGGAGGGCTGGGCCGATTCTGCTTTGGAAAACAGTCTAAGTTTTTGGTAGAAGCGTTGGAGAAACAGTTTTAAATGATCCTGGGGACAAACTCAAGCAGAAAATGGTGACAACAGGAATAGATCCTGCAGGGAACAGGGGTGATCGGGCCTATGCTTCTGCAGGCTTGCTGTGCACCTTTGGTGAGGGCAGGTCACTCCTCTCTGACGGCTGCTTTGGACCTCATCAATGAAGTGGGCTGTGGAAATTACAGACAGAGAGAATAACAGTTTTAAAGTAATTGGCAGGAACCAGAGCAAAGATCAGTGTTTGTGGGTGTGTGGTTACCTGCTGTCTAAATAATGCAGTGTATACTCCAAGTTGCAGCACTATTCTTGCACAGACAATATACAAACAGTGTAGTGTATGCAGTGCAGTTAGAAAGCACAGGGAATGCATTGTGCATGCATTATCAGTGGTAGATTAAAAATATTATTCAAGCACTTAGATAGCTGACAAAGTGGGAAAGGATGTTTACCCTTGCTTAATGTAAGTATTAATTAGGCAGGTCAGTCCATGCAGAGCTGAGTCAAATTACAGATCAAGTTCGTGTAAATCCAGTGAGCTGCTGGAGCAAGGATACAAGTAGCAGCTCTGTGCAGATGTGTCTCTAAACTAGACATACACAGACATATGTGAGACAACAATGCATACAGATTAATCATGTTCCATGCATTTAATAATATAAATTATTGCATATAATGTTATTAAATCTCAGTTATTGAGTACACCGTTTTAATAACATGTACATATGCATAGCCAAAATGAATTCACAACTACAGTTTGCACCACTTCATCATGTAACAATATCTAATGAGCCTTGCAGCTTTTCAGAGAGGATGTGTCTCTTTCTCTGAAAGCAACAGTAACCTTGCGTCATATGTAATAGAGCAACAAGGACAGCTAAATTAGAAAAGCTATTGACTTGGTGTGTGTGGCCTGAAAGGTCCATTAAAATGCAACACCACAGGCTACAAAAGGCCATGGTCAGCCAGACATACTCTGCTAGTGCCAAAATAACTCCCCAACTCCACTTTTGACTGTGTCTCATCTGTGGATCACAACTGTATGAGACAAAGTGAAGAATAAAGTTTAGCGGCCATTTTCAGTACATATTCTGAATAAACTTGGGATGAGATGTGCAGGAAGTGGTCCTAAATCCCCCTGCATTGTCTTTGTTTTTCTCAACAAATGATGTCACTGCTGGCTCGACTAGAAATAGAAACCTGTCACGCACACTACTGGGAATATAGGGCTCCATTCATTCACAGGTCAGAGCATGCCAGAATTCTTTCTCATTGGATTTTAGGAATTTATATGTGATGATGAAAATGTTGCACCCATCCATTAAGAGTTACATTTTTTGTGAAACTGACTTTGCCACAGTAAACTTAGACCATGTCCCTATTACACGCACAATATCCACATGTACATACAAGTCATTCAGTCATCTCTTTTATTTTTAATTTTTAGTATTTTGGCTGCACATAGTTAAGACTACATGATTGGGGAGAAGTTAAGATCAAGAGGATGGGGGAGATCATCTGTGTGATACATTCATACTGCAGTTAACAGTGCATACATTTTTTAACATAGGTGACCCCCAGCACGGATCAGACCTCTAACTTTTGTGGTGCTGATGCACTGACATTGAGCACAAACTGAGGTCCCTCTCTTTCCTCTGTGTTTTTTTGGGTTCCTTCTCACTGAGCTTTCACCTGCTCACTATATCACATCACTTATTACTGCAGGTTGGTACATGGTGACAGACCAAGGCTTCCAGAGGCTGCACAACCTGTGATTGTTTGTTTTGCATGTGGTTTCAATTAGAGCGAACAGCTGAGGCAGATGGAAACTGGTTACATAAAGCTGCTCTAGTTATCATTACACAAATCAATAACTATGGCCGGTCATTCAGCAGATGCTATATATTTTTTTTTATATGTTTTCACAACACTCACAACAGTAATGTCACATATTGTTTTTTTATTTATTTGTTTCTTCATATTTTATAATTTTTACTCTACAGGGTCAGTATAGTGTTACAAAATTCAACCATGCACAGACATCATGAGCTAGAGTTTAGTTCAGATCAAGGACAGGGGCAAAGCAGATCATCAATATCCTGCAATCTCCAATGACAGATGAATGAAATAGGCAATGTATTACAATAATAATAATAAACAATAATAATAAAACGGAATACTAAGATTTGAGATGTTTAAAGCTACATTATAACGCATGAAACAGCCTTCTTTTAGAGTTGAAATTCATTTCTTATTACAGGACTATGAGTTTTAGTGTTTTGCTGAGAGATTAAACATCAGATTTTTGCAGAGTGCAGGTATATTTCTTCCCTCCTCATCACTCTCAGAATCAGAGATAAATCTGTCCCGCTTATTACACCTACCTGTTGGTCCTTGCAGCGCAAATCTGCCGTGCCTTTGGTGTAAAAAGTCCCATATGCGCCAGATATGCACACTTCGTCCTTTTTGATTCCTGCTGCTCTTTTGTTGTGTTCACTTAGTTTCCCACCTGGCGCAGCCAATTCTGCCATAACCCTCTCCAGCAATACTGAAGAAGATGTTTGTCGTTGCAAAGACAGACTTTAAAAACACGTGTGCCTAACCCCGCCCCTGTGGCAGCGGCGGCCAATAGGAAGCTGCAGCGCCTGTTTGAGGGGTCTGAGCCCGCACAGAGGGTTTACATTATCTGTGAGTGCAGTTAAAGACCGTTTGTTATCAAAGGGACGCTACAGAACTTGACATTTAAACTTAAAACAGGGGTGGAAAAACATCTCCAGAGTCGCTGAAAACTACCATAGTTAATCAATTATAATTGGTGTTCATATGTGGATTGTTTTCCTGTTCTCTATAAGAATCAAGCAATACAGCCTACTGGGGAGTGTGGAGCACTCTAGGGCTCTCCAAAATAATCCTCCACTGCTGGAGTGATGGTGAGTGTGCTCAGTGAACACAAGGTGGCGGCGTGGAGCTGCAAAGAGGACTCACTGAAGCGATGGCATCATGTGATTGGTGTTGTTACTGTAATTCATGTTTCAGAGTTTTACAAGGTCAGAGCAACTTTTATTTGACTTACATTTGTGGTCATTGATTTTATTCATCTAAAGCATAAAAAAAACAAAAAACACTGGATATAAAGTCACATATAAATATATTTACAAGAGTACACCTTATTATTATTATATAGCCCATCCCATCACATCCCTCATAACTGGCATTATTGGATGAATCCACCTTGTATTATAATGTATATTTTTCTGGTTGTTTAAGCTACAAACATGTTTGCTGCATCACCTCTCCACTGACATTGGGATTCATCTGGTGAGCGTGTCCGTTTCTCTTGACTGATGGAAAAAGTGGATTTTGGGACTGTGGACCCTCTGCAGGACGTCTCCCCCTGTCACACTCTTCTGCACTGAGCAGGGGCACCGGCACCCACATAGTCTCGTTGAACAGAGCATAGTCCACCTTGTAGCGCCTCTTACCCACTTTCAGCATGTCCTGGAAGCGTTGACCCCAACGGATGTCTGCTGAGGTGTAGGAGGTTCGTGTCTGGTGGAGCATACCTGTAGAGTCACCTGTGTAGGTGAAAGACACCACCAGCTCAAAGTTGTCCTCCAGCAGGTCGTCAGGGCCCAGGCTGTAGAGGGGACTGCCAGGCTCCAGCTTGTGAATAATGGTGGCTGGTGTGGCGAGGACAATGTCTCGATCCTGGATGTCCAGGTCCTGGTATGACATCACAATAGACCCCAGTGGCTGTTTCACATAACGGACTAACACGGCCCTGGCAACACCCTCCAGGATGTGATTACCTCTGAAGTCCCCAAGTCGCCATGACAGACACAGAGCCCCGTCTCGCTGGTTGACCACCGCACAGCTGCTGAAACCCACCGTCTGAGCTCTTTTACGAGCAGATGCCATTTTACAAAGAACAATACCAATAATAATGGTGTCAAGGAGGCAGCTGAATACATCTTGAACCGTCACTACAATAATGGCCACAATGCAGTTCTCAGTCATCCCCCTAAAGCCATATCCAATAGTTGCCTGGGTCTCCATTGAGAACATAAAGGCTCCTGTAAAGCCACGCACATTGTCCACACAGGGTTCATTATCTACATTGTCAACGTCTCCATGTACATATGCAATGAGCCAATAACACAGGCCGAAAAAGAGCCAGGAGAGAATGTAAGAGAGGGAAAAGATGAGGAGCATCACCCTCCAGCGGTTCTCCACAAGAGTGGTGAATATGTCTATCAGGTATGGGCTCCAGTTTCCAGGGGTTTTCTGGAAAACCACAGGGAACCTGCCATCTTTCTGCATGTAGCGTAGCCGCCTGCCCTCATTTTGCCTGCCCAGTGTGTGGATTGTAGTGTAGTGGGTATCAATGGTGTCCTGCTCGCCCCTTTCAATACTCATTATGACCAAGCCTGTCAGGATCCTGTAGAAAGACAGAGATTAAATAGAATATGCTGTCAAGTTAAAGTTGAATAACGTGACAAAGTGAACTCATGGGAAGTAAGGACAGCATTTTACTCATTACATGTGGCTAAAATGTAAAAGGCTTTCAGACTTGTTTGTTAAGCTGAACCCTTCATGTTTGAGCAAGCAGCCTCGGTCAATCTGAGCCTCAGGCTATCTGAAGCAAATGACTTGAGTGGTGCCCGGCTCTTGGTGTGAAAAATGTACTTCAAGAGAATGAGTTTCTTACTGGTTGATTATTTACCAGAAGTTCCATTACAGGTCACTGGACACTGTCCAAATCAGTTGTGCTAAACGTTCTCAATAAACACATTAATCTCTACAATATAGCCACATGTAATCATGAAGAGGATTTCTGTCATTCAGCTTGTTATGTTAAAAATACTCCAACACTCAATAAGAGCTATTGACATTTGACATTCAGTGTGGAAGTGTTTGAGCTACTGCATAAATTACAGTTGTGATCACTCTAGGTAAAAATGTATTAAACAATTATAGAAATTATAGAGACAAATTTAAATTCCATTATTCAACACACCACAAACCAAGCATAAGAACATGCAAGGTCAATACAATATATTCAAACATCAGTTTAAATGTTTTAATATGTACATTTAATACAGTAAGAGGGCTCAAAACAAACCCAGGAGCAAATTATGTTTATTGTATTCACAGAAATCTCTCGCTTGTGTTAAGTGAATGGTTCAGAGTGGTTGGATCTTACCTTTTTATTGTTTTTTCTATGTATCTATCTGAGCATTTAATGTTGTTTTGATTTGTTAGGGCACCCTGGATTTGTCAGTGCTGACAAGAACGTGGAATTGTTAATTTTTTAACTTTTGTACAATTGTACAAAAACATATTTATTTCCCATCTATATCCAGAAGTGAATTGCTGTCCCTGCCTAGAATATCAGCCAGCTAATCTTTGTAATCTGTTCAAGCAAAATGGGTGGCGATTGATCTCACAATCAACAACAACTCCTATTTGTCTTTTACTTTTATCAGTTGCTGCTGTTTTGCAGATATATGTATATATATCTCAAGAATCACATGTTGCTGCTTTTTCTCCAATGTGCCCCCTAGGTTTCAGAAAGCTACATCCACAGCATTTGTTGTGTTGTTGAATGCATGTACATTTTACTCAACTTGGACTACATTTTATATAGTACCTTTAATCGTGTTAATATTCATTTTAGTCACTGGATATTAATCTTAAAAGAGACTTTCTGTCCTTTAATGCTCATGTTCCTTTTCCGGTTTTAACAATAGATTTTAGTGTCATCAACCCTTAGTCACAAATAATTTAAGCTCTTTAAGTATTTGTAAATTTTGACATAATATGTAAAAGAAAAAAATATTGCAAATGTAAAGTTGTTTTCTCATGCAAGCTTTATTGACGTGAGCCTGACACACTTTATATTTCTGTCCTTCATACACCGAAAGCTCCAACACAAGTCCTTAAATCTTGACCTTGTTCAGGTATTGATCTTAGCCCATGGTGATATATATAGATTTGGCCATGACCATCTGACAAGATTAAGGCTTTGAGTCAGGGAAATCTATTTCCCACAGGGAAGAACCTCTTTTTTAATCAGTTTGGTTTATCTCTTTAGTTCTGAGTCTGTTGCCTCCCAGACGTGACCCAGAACAATGTCAAACAGGGAACAGTCAGCCGACTTTTGACAATAAAACTCACAGCTTAGAGAAATCCAACAAATGTATGGTACTTTGAATCAGTATCAATATTTTGCTCCAACCCTGTGCGGACAAAAATGTATAGCCAAAAGAAAAAAACAGTCATCATGAAAGTGTTTATATCATCTGTGTCTTTACTCCAGAAAGAAAGTATGTATCAGTTAATTAGGCAAAACCTTGACCTCAGTCTGGTGCAGTTATTAATCCCTTTTGTCCTCATGAAGGTAAATTATTATCCTCCAACCACCTCCAAATGTTACCTGAAATGTCAATCTTTAACCACACCACCTCCCTTTCACTAACAGATAAAATACACTAAAGTCAGAACATTTTTTATCACTTCCTTACACTTTTGTAATCTGACAGCTGCTTGAGTTGTCACTGATGAAAGGCACACTATCAAGCTTATGTTATGAGTACACAGTGCCGAGTAACCTCACTCATTGATCAATATGTTTTTAAAGCTATGTCCTTCCTTGCAAGAAGTCTGTCAGACTTTTATCAAGAGTTTTTATTGCTTAATTGAGCCTGAGAACACGTAGCTGATGTTTATCTCAGGTATGATAAATGGCTTTTCAAGAGTTTACTTTTACTGTAATGTAATTGCGTTGCTAAACTATTGTGGGTACCTGTAAGCTTTATTGGTTATAGTGTTTGCGCAGTAGTGCCAAGTGCAGTCTGTAAAACACACAGTGTTCCTGTCAGTCAGATAAATGTCAGTTCAAATAAGATGTTACTGTAGTTTAAATGGGCTCCTGTTGGCAGGTAAACACTGAGTACAAAAATATTCTAAAAAGTCAAAGATTGAGACCTTTAAGAGCAAAACACTACTAAAAAAAAAAAAAAACCAACTCAAACCAACTTCAAGTGTTTCAGTAAAGGCTCAAAATAATTTTGCATGCTGCAGCAAGTGGTGACAGAATTTGATAAATGTGTATAGAACAACACAGAAAAACAACAAGTTACCAAGTCAACATGCATTCATAAGCAATTGAATACTTGACTTATAAACTGCAGAGTCACAGGTTTCAGACAGTTGCAGCCTGATTTCTACACAGCAATCACAGAAGTCCATGGTGAAGGACAAGAACAGGTTACAGGACAATCAGGGTTCACAGAGGTATGACGCGCCCACCCTCCAGGATTCACATGACACATGGCACGAAAGGAGCAGGGGAAATAACCAAGACTAGCTTATCTGTTAAGAAATGGTGGTTTTATCATTTGTAGGTTTGTTTATCTCTACTTCTTTACCTTTTGCACACATGTAACTCTACTTACTTTATCTATGTTTTATGCATATTTAACTTCTGTGAGATACTCTATGAGTATAACGGATCAATAAGCTGGAGTCTTTCTTAATTAAATCCTACAGAATAACCTGTTTCCATGTTTGAGGAATTATTTTGAGTTATGTTTCGTTATCTGAGGCGTTATACTTGTATGCCCTTGATCATATATTTTTTTAAATTCCAAACAATGCAGTTCATTTGCTAAAGCACGTATGTTTCCCCATATTTAATGTGGATTCACAGCAAAAACACTAAGGGAAAAGATACAAACCAAAATATGGGTGTAATATATTTCTTTATGTTTCTTCAGTTTCTGGCAAAACTCATATAATGACCACATTTGTTTATCAATTAGTTAATTTATTATCCTTATTTTCCTTCCCTGCTGATATCTTGAAGTAGTAATATGTTGAATTTTGTATCTATTCCTCTGCACTTTATTGCAATTATTTAGTAACTTTTAGCTACTTAGAAATTAGTTTAGTTAAACCTTTGACACACTATTCTCTCAAAATGTCTGACATTTTGTAGAAAGCCAAAGCCAATTTTGTTGTATTGTCGGAACAGGAAATTGAAAGGTTTATCCATGACAGAATTCTTGTTTATCACTTTGAATAAGTCTTCAGCATACCACAATACTTATAAAAAGCAGACATGGCATATTTCAATATTCAACTTACTTGCAGAGTAGAAATTAGAGATTGTCAGGTGTCACATAAGCCCATCAGTTCTCCCAAGCATTGGACGCTGTGTTGCCACAGTGGAGGTAACCTCTGAGTTCAGTTGGTATCAGAGTGTTGGGGGCTGGCCTGGTTCTGCGGCAAAGTCCCATTTTCTTCTGATATCCCAGCAATCACTTCCCTCTGAAACCTTATTGGACAATCTGGAAGAATTTATGACCTATGGAATATTTTAGAGCTTCCTCCGGAAAAAAACATCAGATGTCCTCCTTACTGTTTGTTGCTGGTAGATGACGAAAAAGAAATTGTGCAACTTAAATAATCCTCCACAGATTGAGAAATACTTATGATTTATAGCAGGTTATTTTGCAGCTATGTATATTTGAGTCATTTTGCTTCGGATTTCCGTGATTCATTAGACAGAAAGTTAACCTTTGCTACATAAGGTGCAGACACTGTCATTGGAGAGGATTTTCTTTGTCTCAGGTGTCCTCAGTTGGTTCTGATAAGACAAGAGATCACAGCTGAACCGCCAGGACACACTAACTTTTAAACCACCTTTATTGCAGTCATAAGAGCACCCAAAGCTGTTAGATAGAGGTCGACAGCACCAAAACAACCTTGTTGTGTTTTTAAAAATAGAACATGACCTCCCTCCCCTCTGAAACCTACCGGATTCATCATGTATTGGGTTTTTAAGATGACGTGTGAATATAAAGATAAGAAACATTCCTCTGAGAGATAACCTAGAAAGAATAGTTCATCAGTTTGTCATTTACGGGCAGCAACTATATAATGAACAAGTGAAACCACAGACAGAAAATAGTGGTACTTCCTTTACATATTAATAGTATAATACATATTAGTATTACATAATAATACCCATACATGTGACAGGACTGGTGTATTTATTGATTTAAGTATCCTGCATCGTGTGGTACTACAACACGATCATGCAACAATCTGTAATGTACAGTTTCAGGATCAGTGAGCCAAATAGGTCTACATATAATGACGCACAGTATACCTCATGAGTCAAAACTATTACATTTTAACTACTTAAGTATTTAACAGAGAATCTTGACCAGACAAATAATTGTTACTGTGAAGTAAGGAAACATTTATCAAGTCTATGTGGAATGGAAGCAAGAAAGTCATTTCACCACATCAGTGTAAGTGAGACAGTGGCCTTCAGCTGGCATTGAATTGGAGCCATTGGAAGCTATCAGAGCTCAGATAGGAAGGTGTAATAAGGAATAATTTGGAGAAATTAAGGGCAAAGTGCAATGTTAATGAGCTGATGTTTCCAAATGTGATCTAATTGGCTGGATGGGACAGGGTAGGAGCATCTAAGTAGCATTGACCATGGGCTTTATGTGGTGAGAGAACATTGATTTAAAGATACGAGCCGAGAATGTAAAGAATGTGTTTCAGTAACACTTAATAATACAGCTTGCAATTTACAGTCTATATACAATTGTGTTATAGGAATCATAGTAATACTCACCAGTTCCTGCTGCTACTTATCTTCAAATCACAGTACTGGGAAACAAAACAACTGTAAATCGTGGGCTATATATTTTTATTTAAAAAAAACTGAAGTATAAAGGAAAACAACCATGCACATGTTTTTTCCTAGTAATCACAAGGTGGCCCAGAAGGAGGAGTCAAACACAGCAACCAGGAGGATGAGGGTTTTGAGTAGGGAGGCAGCCTGCGCACCCAGGGGGCTTTTGAAACAGTGAAGGGTGTTGTTTGTTTGACATATTTGAGACCAGAATAATCTCATCTATGACTGATAATGATCAGGTCATTCAGGTATGGAACATGCATATTCGAGATAAAGCACCTGTTTCTCAATGGTCTAATAGTCCAGGGGGATAAAGGATTTAAACTATTTGCAAACTCCCTTTTCCTTATTCATAAGCCACTTCACTTGAATTCCTTAAATTATAACTTTTATTTGAGACACTTGAGACCATGGCACAACTTCTGCTCTGTTTTATAAATAGGTTATAATGATGACACACCCCATCACTACATCATATGACACTTAAAAAGAAATCTTAATACAGTGCAATCAAAGTTAAATAAGTTGAATATTACATAAGCTAATGAGCTTGTGAGTCATATTGTCAAAAGTAAAATGCTAAATCTATAAAGCCTAAATTCATAATCCAGCTGTCAAAACAAATTGTTTTTTTAATGGCCATTCTGTGAGAAGAGAAGCCTGCCCTTTGACTGCACTGAAACCACAGTGTAGTCAAAGGGCTGCAAGTATTTGTCCTGCATCCATCACTGGGAGAACTGGCTCTTTGAGGGTAAACTCATGTTTCCTTTATTGACTGCCTCAGCTCACTGTCATGCAGTGCCATTGTAATGCAAAGTTGCATTGGCTAGCCATGATGAAAAATAGCAGCTGGAGCTACCTGAATGTGCTGGCAGGTATAGATAGTGACAGTAATTGCATTTATGCTCTTAGTGTTTACACAGATGACTGAAGGATAAGATGTACTCTCAGTGTAATTAATCACGCGATGGTATTCTCACACACAACTGTGGTTAAGTCATGTTGTCTTGTAGTGAGCCTACGTGGTAAATATGTGGTTAAACGTCACAGACAGGCCTATTTAAGTTTCATGTCAAGCTGAAATCTAAAGAAAGGAGCAAAAGAAAGGGATGGTACAAAACTGGAACACGGCTTTCAGTTAATCTGCAATTATTACTCATATGTGAAACTAATAGTGTCATTCCTGTGGAGATGCAGTCAGAAATATTTCTTACACACAGTCTGTGGAAAGCAGTAATCTTACTGACTTTAACAGTAGGTAAGTGTACCTTTTATCTCACAAAACAATGTTTTCTAGTTTCTAGTAGACTGGCAGAGGTATTTCTGAAAATATTTAAAGCTCTGGTTCACATTCATCTCTAATTCCAGGATGTGGAAATGCTGACTCCGACTGCAAAAGTCGTCGTTGTCTTGCTGAAATGTTGATCAAGAAAGAACTTTTGTCTCAGCCACAGTATGAAGACTGCACCCATGAGATTGAGGTGCCGTTCATTGAGTACCAAACCCTGGCAGTTGTAAGTATTGTTTTATGATTTGTTTTATTTGATCATTTAAATCATTAAAATTACAATTATATATATTATTCTGTTTGGCAGTCATTTACAATTTACATTGTTGGAAGATGTATTCTTCATACAAATGTAGTTAAAAGTACAATACTTACCTCTGAAATGTAGTGGAGTAAGTATAAAGTAATAAGTATAAAGTAATAAGTAGAAAATTAATAAGTAGAAAGTTGCATAAAATGGAAAGTAAAGTAGCTCTAACCCCAAATTTGTACTTACGTAAATGCACTTACTAAGTAACATTTCACCACTGGTCTTTTATTATATTTCATTATATGTTTGTGTTATTGTAAGCCTGCTGAAGATGTGTTAAGAATGTATTTTGCATTTGTAAAATGCATACCGGATGCCTTAAAACATATTAAACCTTATTTATCTCACGTATATATTCAGACACAAAGACACAGATTATTGCTTATAACATTTCCACCAGCACTCCAGTAGTGTTGATATTTTTCCTAACCACATTTTTGATATTTTTTTTAACAGGACACAAAGAATCTCCGCCTGTTTAGTCGTCTGCAAGCATCAATTGTAAGCTTCAAGTATTTATAAATGCACAAAAAGGAACAGAGTATGTTTCAATCGCATTCATTCTAATTTTAAACCACAGGAATGGAAAGATCCTGAGTTGGCATGGGACACATCAGTTTACCCATATGATAATGTGATCCTGCCCGTAAATAAAGTCTGGACCCCAGAGCTCCATGTGACAAATGGGTCAGTCAAAAGAGTTTACAGCTATTATCACAAATTGAATCCATCTTGACTTTCATCTGACACATCTGTTGTCTTTCACCTGCGTAGAATAAGAACAACCATGAAGCACAGCTCCCGTGATCTGCTGGTGTTCAGTGATGGCAGACTGATGCACGATGTGATCATAAATGCAGAGGTGAACTGTGAAATCAACCTCTTCAACTATCCCTTCGCTGCTGATGCATGCCCTATCGCGCTCCATACCTGGTCCAATTATGGTGAGCTCAGCAACTCACTAATACAAATGTTACACAGTATTATTATTTTTTTTTAATTTAATTTAATTATTTTTACATATCTGTGTTAAGTTAAGATTTATCTTCTTCAGTCATGAATGGTTATGGTGGAGGTTGGGCGGGGTTTTACAGTTATGCTTTTAAAAGTGGGTTTTCCAGTTGTTTAAAAGCATAGCCATAACCATAATAACCATAATTCAGCTGTCTAAATGTGTGTAACTGACATAAATTCAGAGCAAACAATACTGAAATTTACCTTGAGAGGCAACTGGACTAAATAAAATCATGATAGAGAATCCATTGAGCCAGGCTTGCATGTGGTACAGTGGTACTAGACCAATCAGCATCCTTTGGAAGAAGAAATACTGGCAGCTACGGAGCAAGCGGCAACCTCTGTGGCAAATGAAGCCAACGCAAACAAAAAAATGCAGTTCCCCCGAACAGCCACTTGAGGCTGGCTACAGACGTGCTCAATCTCCAGGGTCCATATTAAAACACAGTCAGGTGATGTCACTTGAGGCAAAGTTGGAGGCTGAAGACCACAAGTTTGAAAATGGAGTATTCAGGGGGTGTAGGCACCAGGTTTGACAAGATGTATACCTGAAATAAACAAGACAATATCTCTGATTCTCCTGCATCGATTTTTCTGTCCACAATGACTCTAGGACTGCAATGCTATATTGGAGGAGTGCTCTTCTAAAGAAGGCTTAATTTCTTTCAGGATGTGGCACAATGCTGTCATTGGATGTTGTGTATCTGGTTAATAAAACCAATGGAGACTGGCAAACTACTGAGGTGAACTTACTGACTCAAGGACTTGACCACCATTACATCATGGTAAGTTTATGAACATGTGGAACAGTCATTTATATATAAGTAATGATCTGCCAATTTTTTTGCATTAACATTACAGTATTTAGCTTTGAAGAACAGCAGCTGACTTGTGTGATTGTGACACGGGGGGGAGGTTAGAACGATTAGTTGAGAAATATAAAACACACAATTTGATTAATTTAGAGCAATCAATGATGAAAGTAAATCTAATTATTCTAGATGAGGTGTTCTCTTCGTATTCCCTCTGAAAATTGCCCAAATAAACAACACTTCACTATTCTTACCCACATACTGAACATACATTTCTTCTGTCTTACTCCTCAGGTGAAATTGAGCATCAAATATCTCAACCCCTTCATAACATTACTATTGCCCAGCATTCTGATCGTCCTGGCTGACGTGGTCAGCTTCGCTCTGCCGCTGGGAGGCGGTGAACGCAACTCTTTCAAGGTCACTCTGGTGCTCAGCTTCACCATGTTCCTCATCATCCTGAACAATGAGCTCCCTGGAGACGGCGAGTGCAGCCCCATCATCCGTATGTCAGCTCTCATGCAGAAACTCATGCACAAACCAATTATACGAACAGCATCAAAGTTTGAGTGACTAACCGTTTGTCTGTGCTGCAGGAACCCACTTCTGTGTATGTCTGGTCTTGCTGGTGTTAAGCATGTTGGTGTCCCTGGTGCTGACACGGTTGGCCAAAGACGGCAGCATTATTTTCTCCTGCTGCACCAAAGGCCCAGTCCCAAAGAAAGAGGAAGAGAACGAGGATGAGGGTGAGGAAGAACTGCAATACTTTTGATATTAAGTAGGGTACTTTGATTTTCTTTTGACAAAACACACTGTATGACCTGCTCTGATTGCTTATTCAACCCCTACAGAAGCCAAAGCTGACATTAGTGTCGTTCAGCTGAGTGCCTCAGAGGAGCACGGTCGGATGCTCAGAAAGGTGGTTGACTTCCTGGAAGATTTTGACGCAAAGCTGCTGAAAAGTGAGCAATATGAGCAGTTTGCCAGCAGACTGGACAAGATATTTTTCTGGCTCTATTTCATTGGTGGCACTATATACTTTTCTGCAATGACTTATGTAATGGTAAATTATGAATGCGAAATCAACCATTTTACTTTCTGGTACTAATAAAACAGGCTCAGTGCGTATTAATGCATGCCACTATCTTATAAAAAACTTAACTGAGCTATTCTTCATAAAATTACAAATTTAAGATAGTTATATACGCTCTCATTCATTCAAATTCAACATTCAAATGCAAAGATTTAAAGGTTGATACTATTTCAGCACACATTTATTACATTTGTTACATGTGTATAACCTCTCATTCATTATGTCAAATATCATTTGTACTCATAGTTTGTCTCTCGATGTCTGCTACAAATGTGAGTTAGCATATTTCTGAAAAACAAACAAATAAAGGATTATCACCACATGATGTTTAATGAGATGATTGTTTAAAAATAGAACATCTGCACACGACTAAAATAGATTTTATTCTTGAGGATTTTCCAGTGTTGCACAACCTCTTCCGGACTTGTTCATTTCAATAAGTTATTCTTAAGGGATTCTAATCCTTGGAATAAGGTGCTAAATGTCCGCACATATATTAAATGCAAGCAAAGGACAGAGGAAATAATGTATGTGACACATAATCTGCTTAACTCTGATGGTCCTTTGTTGCCACCTGGTGGTTGACTCATTCACTGCAGACAGGCCTGCTGAACTCCTTTACACTCGCTTGATAGGTGTGTCTAAAGTAATCTGCAGGGAATTCATAGTGGAATTGTGACACTTATAATATCCTATGAAACCCCCTGATAACACTCCTTTGTTACACTGTTCGTATTTACAGTACAGTACACTATGTTTAGATAACATGATCTCAAGTTTATTGTTGATCAATTTCCCAGATAAGTCCTGAGTAAAGGAACAGTTTTTGTATAAAACCACACCCAAGTAGCCCTTCTATAAAAACATGTTCAACTTAATAAACTTGCACTTTACCCTACCACGTCCTTCAGTGTCATTTATAACATAACAATTTTGATTTAAACAACATACATAAAGCAGTAGTATAACTTTAATGTCCACAATCCAGGTTTAAACAGTAGGCACAATAAGGTAACACATATATTCTCCAAATTATCTCCAAATGCCCTCTTCACATCAGTATAGAGTACATTCATATGCAGACTGCAGGGCTGTGTTGTTAAATGTCACAGAAGCGGCTCAAACTCAAGCTGCATCTGAAAAACATTTAATGCTTTCATTTTTACAACAAAACTGCCCTGAATTTAGGGCACTGTCTTAATACAAATCCCATCAGGAATCAGGCATTTTAACATTACCTTCTTTAACTCCTGGGTAAGATACATTGGCATTGGCCTATTGGCAACTGTGACAGTCTTGTGGTGAACTCAGTTTACCAGCAAGGGTTTGATCATAATTACACATACACATTTAATTTCAAGATCACCTCACATCAATGAAAATATAATACAATTACCTGCATTGCCAAAACAACTGTATAAAATGTATTCCCAAAAGCAACTACATAGTATTTTATTTGAGTTATTAGAAAAGTCAGAATTCTTAAGTCAGTGAATTTTGAGGAAACAGGACATACAAAGTTTTACCCAAACCTTTACATTACAAAACCCATATACGCTCAGAAAAGAGCAACAGGAAGCAAATAAACATAATGTGTCCATCCAGCGTTAACTTCAAGGCTCCTCTGTTTTCTTCATGGCCTTTAGTGAAAAAAAAAAAAAAAAAAAAAAGTTAATGCATCATGTTTAAGACAAACAACTAAGGAAGGAGGGAGGTATGATTCATTTTCACACACCTGTTTAAATATCTGGACACTGAGGTAGTTCTTCGCCATGTTTTTCAGGTTGGACTCCCCACCCACCTTGCATCTGACATAGCCATACAGGTTAGCCGATTGTAAAACCAGGCCCATGATGACTACAGCCTGCAGGGTACAAAAAAAATCACAAAGAGGAATGAGCAAACAATAAGAAGCTAATTATACATAGAATTCAACTGACATGCTTTTCCAAGAACACTGCACTGACCAGCCATTTAATCTTGAAAGTGAAGATGGTACTGAAGACAAAAATAACCCAGAAGACGGGGCACACGACGAGTCCGAGCCAGAAGATCCGTGACTCTGCACTGGATGTCGTGTTCAGACTGTGTGTCTGTTAGGAAAAGTAAACAAGATTTTCTTTCATGCTATTCATCCAAAAAAAAAAAAAACTATTTGGAAATTCACATCCGATGTCCCCATTGTGCTGTATGATATTTCTAACAGAGGACAATGCAGCTGTTACATTATCTTCAATTGTGCAAAAGGTCATGCAGCTACATTACACCATAAAGAGGCTAAGCAAATGTTACAATGACACTTCAAAAAAGGCTTCAAGGTGTAGTTAATATATGAAATTGTAGATGCACAATATTTTCTGGAATGCCATCGCCTTGTTACTTTGAATATGTCTGGTGTTTACTTTCCAGAAAACCAGGGTCACATTTAATTGTGAAAAGGAAGAGTGACGAGTTTAGCATAGTGCAAAAGGATCTACCTGACAGGCTTCTGCTTACCTTCCTTGACTCAAACACCCAGTGGCTCTTTCCATCTTCATCCACTTGATTCCACCACCGAAGGCCCACCAGCAATCTGCCCGATACATTCTGGGAGGAAAAAACAGGGAATCTATTTGTAAATGAAAGCCTGGTAATGGGATTAGATTTTAACATGAACAACATAATGCACATATTCAGTCTAACAAGCAACATGGACATGCAAAGACAAAAAATTAAAACAAAATCAAACAAATGAATACCAAAACTAGAGTTACAATCTCAATAATCAATTAATCATTTTACTAATTTTTCAACATTTATGTGAGAATTTTATGCTTTTTCTTAATCATATGATTGTAGATTTGTAGTTTGAAATGTGGTTAAGAAAAGACAAGCAAAAAGGGGAACTTTTCACAGTTTTTTGACATTTTATAAACTGAATGATTAATCAAGAAAACTATATGTTCATTAACTGATGATGAAAATAATCATTAGTTGCAGCCCTACACGTAACACAAACAAGGCGTTACCTATACAATTGAAGCATGACACCGGATAACTGGTTAAACACATCCTGACCTCCTCACCTTGACGGTCCAGAAGTCACATGACAGCAGGAGGATGATGGTCACCATGCAGGCAATGAAACGCCCGCTGACGATGTCACTCAGTAAGTAGACCAAGATGGCACTTGCTCGGAAGAAGAGATGGAAGAATGAAGCCAGCGGATGTCTGAAACACAGATTGTCATAAAACATTTAGTCACAATGGACAGCCTCATTGAAGAAGTGGCAGGGGGAGTATTCAGATTAGTGGTCGACCGATATGGGTGTTTGAATTTGCCGCTGCCAATATTTAGAGAATAAAATAAAGTCATGTATAATTCTATTCTATTAATACAGGAAATGTAGGCAAAACGTTTACAGCAGGATGCATGAGGGTTACAGTACAGGGCTCAAACTTTTTCACTACCTTCCCAAAAGTAACATCGTTCCACAGCAGCCACACTGACAGCGCTGCCTGCTGATGTGTCTGCTGACATTTTTTGTTTATCGGCTTTGTGAACACAGACATCGGCCGAAGCAGATTATCTCAAAATGTTAGATAATCGGACTGATTAGTCAGTCTCTAATTCAGATCCTTTACTTAAGTAAAATGTCTTATATGTAATATGAAAGTATAACCAGGAACATGTACTTAGAGTATATATACTATTATATATGAACTCATTTTATCATTATTAGGCTACTCGTGCACTAATATAAATGGCCCACCACTAGTACAAAATTCTAAATTCTTACAAATACATTGACTAAATCAATGAATCAACTCATCCTTTGAGCTGTACTTGTATTGTTGGGTAGTTTCATTTATGACATGTAAACATCATTTTGTTTAAACTCTTGTGTGCAAAAATCTTCATTTGTAAAGTAACTCAGAAAAGACTCAGGTAAAGTAGAAGTGCAGAGAGTTCACATTCCACCACTGCCTTGGAAAAATGGCATTCTCACCGGATTTTTGACATTTTCGGCCTGATGTTATCGTCATCTTCGCCAAAAAGAGGAGCATCTTGTGATTCCTGAAAACGTTAGACAGATCATTAGCAGGTTTCAGACTAAGGCTAATTCTGGACGCACATTGTCTGTTTCCGCCGTTTAGTTTCACATTCAAACCTGAAAAGTCGTGAATATTATGGATTAACTATCGATTGAGACGAGCTACACTACACTCACGCAAATACTGACCCTAAGTAATCGCTAAATCGATTTTGAGATCGATTACCTGTCTCCGCATTTTGACACTTCGGGGATGTATTTCCTGGTGACGTGGTTGTAAACAAAACCGTGTGCTAAGGACCTCAGGTAAGTCTGGCCTTAACTTTGCCTGACTCAAAGGTTTCATATTCAGCCAAAATAAAAAGCAGTTTATGTCGCATGTGATTGTTTCAATGTGGATAAATGCTTTTATTTCAAAGGCTTTGGTAAAGCATTTATTTCATTTTGTTATTCTTTAAATTAGTTATTAGTTTACCCAAAGTAAAAAAAAAAAAAAGACATTTAGGGTTCAACTGACAATTATTTTCAATATATATGAAGCCACTGATTTATTTATCAATTTAAAATAATTAATCATTTGGTCTAAATGTCATATAATTAAAAAAATATATATACCATTATAATTTCCTAAAGCCCAGATTGGAGAAAGAAAACATATAAATCAAGAATAGTAGTAGTAGTATAGGTTTACTTAAAAAATAACTTGACTATTGACTAATTAATCAATCGACTAATGGTTTGAGCTCTGAATATTAGTTCACACTAGCTAACTTTAAAGTTGATGCTAGCTAGATGTAGCCCAGCTGTTTTTTTACTAGCCTATAGTTTTTGCATTGACTCAACTACTAAAACTGTGACTAGTACTAATTTAATAATAAGAAGAAGAACAAGAACAAGAAGAATCAGATACATAATTACTCATTCTTTTTTACTCAGCTTATTGCATTGCTTGCCTTTATTTTGTGCATACAGAGGCTTAAACATAAAACAAGTCACACAAGATTGGCTGCTTTGTAACTCCTAACAATAACATTTTGAATACATTTACATTGTCACATATTCAGGCTATGAGGGACACTGAGGAGAGGGGAATTGTCAGTCAATATCTACCTTACAAATATATAGAGAGACAACAAAGCATCATGAAAACAAACTACAATTTGTACAAAACAGCTTTATAATGTCAAAATAGTTGGGCATACACATCGTATGCTCTTGCAGCACTATGACGTCAGAAAAACCTCAAAGAGACTGGCGACTGAATGCATGCGGTAAAAGATGCCAAAAGGAAGTCCAACATTCACAACAGCAGCCCACATGTTGAATTTGTAGAATTCAGTTTCACTGTGGTGGTCAAACTGTGGGCGAGCACCGAAGGCTGGCATAATCCACAGCTGTCAAAGAAAGAAACAAGAGAACAGGTTAGAGTATTTGGTGAGCTTTAAAACAATGAATTTGAGATTGTGAGGGAGAATGGTACTCACTATGATGTTGCCCAGCAGCAGAAAGGAACAGACCTCCTTCAACACCCGTCTCTTCCACAACAATTTGTGTTTGTGCTCAACTGCCTGGCCGTACAGGCTGTCTACTGTAAATACTGGACTGGGCTTTGTGTCCATGTCTGATTCTTCAAGACTGTTCAGTGATTTGGTTGGCTGCAGCACATATGGATTTGCTACCACGGTGACAACCGGTTGCACCTCGTGGAAGGGCTCCCGGTGTAGACCTTCTATGATGAAAAAGTTCTGCAGGGCAAGTTGGATCACCATCAGGATAGCCCAGGTCAGGTTGAGTCTATTTAGGTGGCCTTGGGCTCCAGTTGCAACCATGGCTACAATAGTAAAATAGCTGATGATAAACTGTCCCAGTGAAGCTCCCACCAGCAGCCCTACGTCCAGACTGCGTGTGGGGTTTTTGTCTGATACATGCTCCCTGTGGTCCACCTTGTAGATGGCACAGCCGATCACAGTAGACACGGACATCATAGTCACTATTACTATATTCATGACAAAGTGCATCATCAATGCTCTGTCTTGCTTGTCATCATCGCTGTCGTCATTTTTCATTTCCATTTCATATACGATGAAGGTTGCCAGGCCTGCCACCACTAAGAGGACTCCGGTCAAAGGGCCCACAAATACATCTTTCAGATGGAATTTGATGTTGTGGTGGCTGTGTTCATCTACTATTCTACCGACATTTTTCCACAAGACGTAGGCCATGGCAGAGGCGAAGAGACTGTACTCGATGTTGAAGGGGTACAAGTAGTAGTAGGCCTCCTTGAACATGCTACATGACGTGTGGCTGCACATGCACTTATCGTCTCCATAACCCACTGTAAGACATGACAGGGCAATGTTAAGTTGTGATGTTCCATAGATCGCTATATCAACTTTGATTGCTTCATCTGCTTTAATTACCTTTATTGATGTAGATGCTTCGCCCAGACATTTTAGTAATGTTGCTCGGATAGTCGGGAACTGTTGTTTGGTGAAGGGACTCCTCAGTGACCGCGGTCATCCACAGGACTAGATTTGTAGAGAGGGTGAGCATAAACCCACAGCTAAATACAAAGACAAGAGGGAAGCAACAGGAAATGAGGATCATAGGCAAAAAAACATAATGATCTGCTCTACCTGTCCCATAATGGCAGGTTTTAATGTCATATTTATACTCAATAGACACATAGACATTTAAAATCAGTACCCACCATGTATTTATAGCCTTACTTACTTAATCTGGTTCCAACTGGTGTATTAATGCTTTTTGATTATATTTTCCACGTAAAAATGTAACTGATAAGCCTTACACGGACCTTACTATTTTATGATAGTAAACCTTAGGCTCTGGTAAATTGTGATAATACCCTTTTCACCATTTTTTTCTTTTTTTACATTTTATCAACCCAACAGTTCAGCAAGCAATCAACAGTTCTACAGCTTACCTAATATAATAATAAGTCTGCAAATGAAGATACATGTCTGATTTTGGCAATGAAACACCAGTACTGTGGCAACAGCAACTTTAGTATAAAACTACTTTCAGCTGTCAATTTTAAAGTTAAAGGAGAAGTATCAGAAGAATTCATAACCTCAGGGAGCGGGTATGTTTACAAAGACAGTGAGTAAATAAAAAAAAAAGGAAGGAAAGCCATCAATCACTTACCGTGAAACGTTCCTTTGTATCTGCACACAATCCTTGGAGTGGACGCACAAAAAGTATGTCTGCAAATTGATTTCACAGTTTTATTAGTATGGTGCAATGATAAAATCTTGAATACATTTCTTCTGTCTTTATAATTGCCATTTTTACCTGCACAAGTATGAAAATAAGTTGCACCACAGGGAATGCAACCTTAACAGCAGAATCACAGTGGAGGTAGCCCACATAGCTGGCTATCTTGAAAATGTCCATGATAACACTGAGGAATCCAAACAGCACCAGTCCTCCTGAAGGAGCAAGAACATTTAGAACAGGAGACAAATCAGATTTTTTTAAATTGCTCTGTAAATAGAAAAAGAATAATTCTAAAGCAAGTGCAACAATTACTCACCCCTGAGCCATATTGGTCCAGCGTGGCCATCCTTGTATTCAACAGCATTTTCTTTCCTGGCCGTGTAGACGGTGTAATAAACCATCCAGATGGAGGTGAGGAGAAGGAGGATGATGAGGAAAATCTGCAGGTCAGGGGTGCTGATGCTCACATTGTTGTAGGCACTGCCACTGACGAGGGCACAGCCCAGGATCAGAATGTTGACACAGATGATCCCAGACAGCATCCATCCCCAGTTTCGACCCCGCTCCTTCACGACTCCACTGGAACAGGTCTTCAGGTTGGGTTCACATGGGCTCCCCGCTTGATCCGTCGCACTGATGTTGTTGGACAGGTGGGCCTCCTCTGTCTCCCTGTCTTTGGCCGTCATCCTACATGGTTCACAGGGATTGTCATTCAAACAGCAGTTGCCAGTGTTCAAACACATGGCTTCTCTCTCTCTTTCTAAAATCTATTCACAAATGAGTTGCTCGCTGGATCTGGTTCCATATGGGACATTACAGGTTTAACCGCTACACCCACTCCTCTGCTCCCTTTAAAGACAGATCCCGCCCTAGTGAAACTTTTCCATGGGGCCCAAAATCAGCATAATTGTCACCCTGTTGGTGCTGCACAAAAGAGCAGCTTCAAATTAACAATTGGGATTTAATTTCTCCTACAGCACTGTATTGAGTGAGAATCCACAAACATGTTTACATGGATTAGCTGTTCTATTTTCTTGAGGGAAGTCATCTAATCCTCTCCATCTCAGATAAAATCACAACCACATAAAAATGCGAAAATAGCTTTAGTTTAATAGATTACCAAAGTTGAACTCGTATGACAACCAGACAAAGCAGCAACCTTATAAAAATGGAGAAACGGTTTCAGGATACCTGTAAGCCTACCTGATGTAGTGTGATCCTGAGAAGCAGTCTGAGCCATCGTGGCTTTTATATCCCTTCAAAAACACAGCGGTTTACTGTACAAAGAGTCATAAATGTCATAAATCTGTTATGAACAACACCATATTATTACCAAACACAGCGTGTTTTGCACAAAATAATCATGTAAAGTTCAAAAGATGTTTCCAGGAAAAACTTTTTCTCACGAGTTCCAAAATACAAGAAACTGGTTCCTTTTTTGATCAGCAGCAATTTTTTTGATATTATACAATACATTTTTAAGACCAGTCTTTTGTTGTAAAAGTTTTGACAGCATGCACAAAATAAATGTTAAAGACAACAACACAACTGCCTGTGAAATTAATTATCCAAACTTTTTCATTTTTATAAATCATTGTATTTATTAAAGGCTATGTTGTCTTTGTCTTGTTCAACTTGATCCCCTTTTTTGCAGCAGCTGACCACACGCAGCTACGCCTCACAATCTAAACATCATCAAAATTCTCTGAATAGGCGTAGCATTCATGACTCGCCTATCTTTTTGCCTTAATGCTCGGAGGGAATACTTTAAGCTTTTAAATTCTATTCATTGCTTAGTGAAGAGATGTGTGTCTGTAACTTGTCTCTGCAAAATGCCTGAAGGTGTAGTAAATGAAAAGCTTGGCCACTATCTGTGCCTATTGTTATGGAAGTTTCAATTGGGTAGAGTGTCTGAGAACTTCAGTGTCTGAGTCGCTGCTGCAGCTATTCTTATTTTAGATCAGTACTTAAGCTAATTTATAGCCTTTTCATCAGGGTGTGGCTGGTTTCTTGTAAAACTTCACGGCATCTGTCTTTGTCTGCAATCAAGTTTCTTAATAGCC